ACGCATAATGCTCACTCCGATTGACTTGGACAATCTTTACTCCTTTCTAATCAGTGAAGAGATAAATATTCAAGCTGAAGCTCTGCGAACGGTTTCTTTAGCTGATTCAACCACAGCTTTGTATTCCCATAGGGGCAGAGGAAGAAGTGGTTGTGGAAGAAATTCGGCTCAGCAATCAAGAACGAACTCTTCTTCAATCATTCAATGCCAAATCTGCAGCAAGCGTGGACAACAAATAACTGCTGGCATCGTCTAAATATTACTGTCAATCCTCCGGAACCTCAAACAACATCGTCTTCATCCCGTGCCATGGTCGCTGCGCATGTTTCTTCCAAGACCGATTAGTACCTGGACTCGAGAGCCTCTGCACACCTTACCAAATCGTTAGACAACCTCTCTCAAGCTGGCTCCTACGACGGTTCAAACAATATCACAGTTGGTGATGGCAGATCATTACCTATTGCTCATTCAGGCAACGGTATTCTGCCAACACCACACAGTGCGCTTAAACTCAATCCCCTTCTTCATGTTTCATCATTATCTCACAATTTGTTATCCATTTCTAATCTTATCAAAGACAATAATGTATATGTTTGCTTTGACTCACTTGGTTTTGTCATTAAGGAAAGACGGGTAAAACTCTATTGTCGGGACCAAGTAACAAAGGACTATACCCGGTTCGCACGACAATCGTCTCCCCTGCCCGGATAGCGCTTGCAGCTCAACATCACAATTCTTGTATCTAGCATCATAGATTAGGCCATTCGAATGCCAAAATAATTCGTTTAGTTTCTGTTTCCAATAAACCTTTGCATATCCCTACTAGTAATGTGTTTTTTCTAGCTGTACATGTTCAAAATGTTACAAACTCAAGTTTTCTAAATCATCTGAAAGAGCTTGCTTTCCTTTAGCCATGATTCATACTGACGCGTGGGGGCCATCCCCAGTACCTTCACATCAAGGTTTTTTATATTATGTGGTTTTTATCGATGATTTCTCGCGTTTTACATGGGTTTTTCCCATGCGACATAAATCTGAAGTTTTTCAATTTTTTCTTGATTTCAAACGATTTGTTGAAAAACAAACAAACATTAAAATTAAATGTCTACGATCAGATGGAGGCACTGAATATGTGAATTCTAAATTCAAAAATTTCTTCAATCAGTATGGAATTCAACACCAAACATCATGCCCGTATACACCTGAACAAAACGGGTTGGCAGAGCGCAAGCATAGGCATTTAATAGAAACCACTCGTACTCTTCTCAATAGCTCCTCTCTTCCTCATTCTTTTTGGCCCAATGCTGTCCTTACAGCCTCATATCTTATCAATCGTCTTCCGTCTTCTGCAACTCAATTTTCCTCTCCTCTGTACCTTATGTTTCACAAAATACCTGACTACTCTTTTCTCAAAGTCTTTGGATGCGCCTGTTATCCTTGGATTCCTCCCAAACAACGCCACAAGCTAGAATCTCGTGCTAGACCTTGTGCACTTCTCGGGTACTCAAGTATTTCAAAAGGTTACAAGTGTCTTGATTACACAACCAACAAAATATTTGTTTCAAGGCATGTAATCTTTGATGAAACCAAATTTCCTTTTTCTCAGCACCCCAGTTCTCAAGATTCACAACATATCACCCCACTTCCAGCACAACTCCTGGTACCTCATCTCAATAACTCTACTGTGACTACCCCTGTTCCACCTACAGCTCCCATTCCTTCTCCCTCTCAGTTCTCAACTCAGCAGGTCTTAGATCAACCAAACTCCAATCAATATGTCATACTAAATTCTACTACCGACATCTCATCCTCTCCATCTATCTTTATTACCACTCAACCACCTGCAGCTAATCTGAAGGGTCATCACATAACTATAAGACTTAAAACAGGTTCTCTCAAACCTATCCAGAAACTGAACCTGCTTCACATTCAACAACAACCCACTCTCTCTACTCCACCCGAACCACACAACTACCAGGAAGCCAGCAAACATTATCACTGGCGCCAAGCAATGTCAGATGAATTTCATGCTCTACAACGCCAAGGAACATGGAAACTGGTACCAAAACCTCCAGACACCTTAATACTTGGCAGCCGATGGACGTTTCGAACAAAGCATAACTCTGATGGCACCATTTCATGGTTTAAGGCCAGATTAGTTGCCCAAGGAAATAATTAGCAATATGGCATCAATTACCTCAGACTTTTAGCCCGGTTACTAAATTTCCTACCATACAAACTCTCCTCACGATAGCTCTCAACAACAAATGGCCGGTACAAAAAATGGATGTACCGAATGCCTTTCTCAATGGCAATCTCAATGAAATCATCTATATGAGACAACCCAAGGGATTCGAGGATGATACTCATCTTGATCATGTTTGTAAACTTCAAAAAGCAATCTACGGCCTAAAACAAGCACCCAGGCTGTGGTTCACTACATTTTCCAAATTTCTTCATACTATTGCTTTTGTACCATGGAAAGCTGACTCATCGCTATTCGTTTTGCACCAAGATCAGATGGATGCTTACTTAGCCATCTATGTGGATGACATACTACTAACTGGCAACAATTCTACCATGTTAGATAAAATCATTTCTCAGCTGCATACTTGATTTTCCATGAAACATCTCAGACTGGCTAATAGCTTCCTTGGGGTTCTAACTACCGATTTTTATCTCAATCCAATTATGTTGATTCTATTCTTAAACTTATAGGCATGAATCACAGTAAAGCTCAGTCCAACCCATCGTGCACCAAGACTCCTAATCCTCTTCCAGAAACAAAACTACCGGTTGATCCTAAGCTATACAGACAAATAACTGGATCTCTGCAATACTTAACTCTAACAAGGCCAAATATATCCTTTGCAGTCAATCTATTATGTCAAAACATGCACAATCCCTCCTCTCATAATTTCTATATGATATATCGTCTACTAAGATATATCTCTGGTACACTATCATACGGTCTTCCCGTTTTGCAGGGATCACTGAAACTTACCTCATTATCCGATGCGGATTTGGTAGGCGACAAGGACACCAGAAAATTAACCTCAGGGTACTGCACATTCTTGGGCAATACATTGATTTCCTGGAGTGTAAAGAAGCAACACACAGTTGCTAGATCTTCAACTGAAGCAGAGTACAGGGCCATAGCATCCTCCCTCACCGACATTATCTTGCTCCGAAGAGTACTACTCAACTTTAACATTCCACTTCAAGCACCTACAAATCTACATTGAGACAGCATGTCTGCCATAGCCCTTGCTAACAATCCAGTATTTCACGTACGGACGAAGCACATTGAAATCGACCATCACTTCATTCGCGATCACATTCTGTCGCAAACTGTCAACATCCTACATGTTTCTACCAAGGATCAATTAGCTGATATCTTCACCAAACCACTCTCGACAACCAGATTTCATCTTCTTCGTGACAAGCTCACTGTCGGTGTCCCTCCATTAGCTTGCGGGGGTATAATAAGAGACACATGTACAACAACTTAAGTAACCTGCTTATGAACCTGTATTATTAACATGTATATTGTATTAAGTTCTGTAGGCATCTATATATATGCCCCAACATATGTACTGTGGGACATCTAATTTAATTCTTAATCAAATACCTTTACTATTTGAGTCATCTTTGTTTTCAGAAATAAGCTTGAGCTTATACGGTATTTCTTTCACCTTGAGGGGAGGGTTCAACTCCCATTTTGAATGACCTTAAAAAGAAAATCACATAAAATTATATATATCTCAATCTAACTATAACGTCCGCAAAATTGACAAAAAATTGTGCAAAAACGATAAGTATAGCCTATATTCTACCTAAAGATTCATACAATTAATAGTAATGTGCAATGTTATTAGAAATTTCATGAAAAATATCTTTTATCAATGATTTCTTTCTCAAGATTTGCATACATACTACTCTCATATTTTTATATAAATATCATATAAATTTCTATATTCATTTAAAAAACATTATAACATTATAAAAAAATTGCTAATTTTCGGTGAAAATAAATCCGTCGGAAATTTCGATGGATTTCCAACATAATTTTAAATTTTCTAAAAAATAATTATTCATTTTGTTAAAATTAAATTAAATATTATTAAACTAAATAATTAAAAAGTTTTATTAATAATGATTATGTTAATTTAACTAAATAAAATAAATTATTAGTTAATCTAATAGCCTATTGTTAAATAGATTAAATAATCTGAACATACTATGTATTAAAATTAATTATTAAGAAAGTATAATTATTTAAAATTAAAAAAAATGCAACTAATCATGACATTGATGCATACTTCTCATTGGATGAGTGATTTATTGGTGGGCGTGTTTGAACCCCGCGTAACACAGTTCGCAGAGCGTGGTTTCATGGCCCGCGGAAGTCAAGGCAGTTTCACGGGCATGCTCGAGCTAAATAAATTTTTTTATTTTAATAATTTCGCCAGAAAATCGAAAAAATTCGGAAATTTTTCTGACAGTGTTTATTTTTCGATGCATGAATTATAAGTCCAAAAATCCTCGAAATATTATAATTTTTTTGACGAATTTAGTCATTCTCAATGAAAATGGCTGTCGGAAAAAAAAAAACATTTTTCATGTAGCCCAGAAATCCACTCACCCCTTTGCTTGGTATGAGGCTCTGAATATATATAGCCCTTCCTATCTTGACTATAAATTTAAAAACTTTGACTATCAATATATATATATATATATATATATATATATTATATATATGAATTTATATTAAATGATTAATACCCCAAAAAAAAAAAGTCCGGAACTTTTGAGGGCCGATCTAGCTGTCTCCAATGCCCTTAAAAGGGAGAAAAAAGGCCCGCGGGCAACGCCGCGCCATCACTTAAGGATCCTCCTCTTCACCGTCCATATTCCCCTTTTCAAACAGCTTCTCTCTCTCTCTCTCTCTCTCTCTCTCTCTCTCTCCTACTGCGTCTTTGATCCCTTCCTACCTCTCTCTCTCTCTCTCTCTCCTACTGAGTCTTTGATCCCTTCCTACCTTCCTCTTCCGACGACGTGCGCACAACGCATTAACCCGCACAAAGCTAAGCTTCGTATACACATACGTTCAATTCAACAACCCCTAACGTCCTCCGCCGCCCATCTTCCACATGACAAAGCCGCCGCCGCCGCCGCCGCCTCCCATTCCTCCAAAACCTGCCGGAAGCTCCACAAGCCCTACCGTCGCCTCCCCCACCACCATCCTCCAACCCCCTTCGCACCGCAAGCGCGGCCCCAATCCCTCCAAAGTCTTCCGCGTCTTTCGCTCCGTCTTCCGCACTTTCCCCATCATCAGCCCCGCCTGCGGCTTCCACTCCCCCATCCCCCGATCCGCCCCCAGCGCCCACCACGACGGCCACATCCACGGCGCCACCCGCACCACCGGCACTCTCTTCGGCTACCGCAAGGCCCGCATCTCCATCGCCATCCAAGAGAACTCCCGTAGCATCCCCATTCTGGTCCTCGAGCTCGCGGTCCAGACCGCCCGGTTCATGCAGGATATGGGGACCGGGCTGCTGCGCGTGGCGCTCGAATGCGAGAAAAAACCGGGGGACCGCGTCCGGCTATTAGAAGAGAAGATTTGGTCCGCATTCATAAACGGGCGGAGGATCGGCTATGCGCAGCGGCGCGAACCGAACCAATCGGATCTCCACGTTCTGCAGCTTCTCCACGCGGTGTCGATGGGCGCCGGGGTTCTTCCGCCGCACCTCGCCGACGCAAATGACGGCGAGCTTGCGTATATGCGGGCTCATTTTGACCGCGTTGTTGGCAGCAAGGATTCGGAGACTTTCTACATGCTTAATCCGGAGACTAACAGCGGCCCCGAGCTCAGTATTTTCTTCGTGAGGATCTGAAGACTGCCGAGCTTTTCTTCGCATGGCGGACTAGCTATGAGTTAAGTTATTCGATCAATAACTGTTCGTAGCTTAGTAAAAATGAGTTGTAAAGGGTAAAAATTCATATACTATTTGTTGTTGTTATCCTGTTTGATTTTTGTTTGTTTGGTGGTATTTTTATGTGCTAATTAATCTCTGTTTCTTTTGAGTAAAACATTCAATAAAAAAACTATTTTCAATGCAAAATTTTTGTTTTTTTCTTGGATGTAACAGTAGCAGGTATTATGAATGGCTCTTATTTTGTGCAAATGGAGAAGATTCTTCCAAAGTCAAAAACGCAATAAAAAAAGGATTTTTCTCTTACCAACCCACATGCTCGTATGCCGCCAGACATAAAATTGATGCTTTTTTTTTTAATGAGCCTCACAGGATTGGATGAGTGCCTTCAAATCTGACAAAAAGTTTTGATTTTTATTTATGAATAAAATAATGTGTAGGATTAATTAAATTTATAGGTTAAAAAATATAGAAAAATACAATTTTTAATGTATTACGTCGTTTGGCTTAAGAAAGAGTTCATTCATAGGTATATCATCACTTCCACCAAAAAAAATTTGTGATGTGTGAGAGTCTCAGCATGGAAGGAGAAAAGCTGAAGAAGAAGAAAGAAAAAGAATGCTACATCAAGAATGCATCAAGCTTGAGCCTTTAAAGGAAGACCATTCACAACTGAAATGTATAACATCATATGTCGTCAGCCATTCGATCCATTTGTACCACAAATCGTACGCCAAAGTTCGGCAGGTGAATAGTGTGATGCCAATTTTAATATCGCACTATTCAACTACACAAAAAAAAGGCTACAGGATTTATCGAAGAAGATCACGTAAGAGGAGAAAAGCGTGGGAAAGAGGAGAAATGGTTATCTTAGCAGGAAGCGCGCGAAAGAAGGGAGAAAATGTTGCTCGATTGGAGATGAATTACTGCATTTTAAAATTTTGTTGTGTTTTGGAGTGAAAAATGAATTTTTCGGTTGCAGTTGCCCTAATGGCAAGGGAATTGTGAATAAAACTTTTTATCTATTTAGTATGTATCTCTACAAAATATTCATATCAAAAGATGCTCTCATTTACCTCGCTACCACTAAGTGCTGCCTCTGGTTCTACTATCTTCATAGATATGTATTCTCCAACTTTTGTAAAATCCACACTACCTAGGACTCTTGAATCTCCACCTCCATACATGTAGATCTACATCATCGGAGCCATCTTCATATGCCCAAGTCAAACCTACATGATCATCTCCATAGCATCGCCACATCATCATTTCCATCCCATTCGCGGCTATCAAATCTCCACATCATAGATTCATCAATGTCATCAAACTCAACTCAATATTGGCCTCATTCAGTTTGCCATATCTCACCATCATCCCAAGCGCCGCCTCCCATCATTTGCGGCTAATTTGCCAGCTCAGTTGGCCACAGTTTTCACTGCAAGGAGCTGAGATCCGCTTCCTCCAAGGCCAAATGTGTCTCTGTCCAGTTCCCAAAGCCCATCACCTTCACCTTCATGTTCGATCTCGAGCCTGATGCACACAGATTTTGATAGAGTTTAATATTTTTTCTTTCTTATGTGTTTGCTCAATCTTGAGGATAACTTCATTATCAAGGAGTCTGGAATGTTGGAAGATTAAAATGTACTAATGGGACAATTAATGAGCAATTTGGATGTTATTTTCAGTTGGAGTTGTCTCGAATTTGGCTGGATTCTTGTTTGTTCATATCTTTGACCGTCGTACTCTTCTATTAAGCATCTCCCCTTCAAATTATGAGTTATGGGCATTCTACAATAGTTCAAATCCCTTGCCCCCTTACTATAAGGAGATATAGGCAAGCTATATCTGCCTAATTATCCATTTTATTGCAATATTATTACTATTTTTCTCTATTTTCTATATATTTCTATAAAATGTTCATATAATAGTAATTTATATAAGAGTTGGAAGCAATAAAGGTCAATACAATAATTGAAATCATGAAATGAACCAAAACTTTTATTATAAAAGAAGCCATTTGAAAGAATCAATAAGAACCATCAAACAACCAACAAGAAAAGTCATTGCAAACAAAATAAAATTAGAAGGGTCATATCAAATAAATAAATTCATATCATTAAATTAAAGTAAATATAAATTCAAATAAATCGACCAACCATAAAAAAAGTATATTTATATGGTGATAACATTTATAAATCTTGAATTGGGGTTTTTTTAATCATTATAACAGATGAATATAGAGAGATTAAATGTAATAAAATTAATAAGTTTGCTAGTTTAGGAATCTTCACATAAAAAATAATACTATTTTTAGCTCCCCAAATGTGGCAGACTAGAAGATTGATGGAAAACAAGTATAAAAATGTGGCTGAAAAGGAGGAAAAGGAGGAAAAGGAGGAAAAGTGAGGAGATGGGGTCTAAAGTGGCAAGATGCTATGGAACATATTGAAATTCTAATAAACTTAAAAGAAAAGGAGTTCAGGAGTAGCCATAAGCTAATGGAAAGTGTAGTAGCATAGGGTGCCTCTAAAAGTAGAGAAACTATTCTGTGTAGTCACCGGACAGTCCGGAGGTAAATCAAAGCGCGACACATCACCCAAGACACAGCACTGATACATAGTAAAAAAGTGACGTTGCACACTCTGATTTGCCTCCGAATATCGTCCGGTGACCGCACTGAATAAATTTTTTTTAAAAGTAAGGACACACACGAGTTAAGGCAATATCTCATCTTAGACACTATCTAATAAAAAGAACCCAATCCACATTCTTTAAATTAGTAAGAAGAAACTTAATGGCAAACACATAACATCAAAGAATAGAATCATGATGATCAAAATTGATGAAATATTGTTAATTATTTTATAGATGTTAAGGAATTCAAGCCCAACATGCATGAAGGATAGCCAAATTCATATCAGTGTTTTTAAAATATAAATATTCAGTAATATTGCCACCAAAAAGTTTAAGCATATTATGCCCATAAACCCATATGTTAATGAATGGTCAAAGAGAGATCTCATTATTAATGATATATTTTTGTTTTTTGTTTTTTATAAGTGAAATTAAATAGCTCTGATTATTATTTATTAAAATATTAAAAAAAATAATATTCTAATTTAGATTCAGAGCAGAGTTACTCATCCTAATTAGAGGGATTCAGTCACTCATCCTCAATATCACTCACTCAACCCTAAATAATCTGAAAAAGCATGATAAATCAGCATTCTCTAGCTTACTCACCCATGACAACTTTATGTATGTACTCATTAAAATTATGCAATCATGTCCATGTGCATGTAACAACTATGCCATGTACCTTTTTAAGGGTTTTTTTTTTTTTTTTTTTTTTTTTTTTTTTTTTTTTTTTTTATGATGTTGAAATAGATGTGGCTATTATTAGTAGAACTCAAGTTGGATGGTTGAAGTGGAGGAATGTATTATGTATATTGTATTTTATAAGATTGTTGTAAGATTTGTAATGTTTTATGGCACAGAATGCTGGCCATTAAAAGAAAAAGGAAATAATATAATTAAGTGTTGCAGAGATAAATGCTCAAGAGGATGAGTGGCTCTACTCTTAGAGATAGAATGTGAGAGGAGCATATATTTGAAAATATTGGAGTAACTCCAATGGCAGATAAGAGGAGAGAGTCAATCTTAAATGATTTTGATCACATAAAGCGTCTGCCTTCTGATGAACCGATTAGAAGAGTAAATGTATTAAATTTAACCTATATTAAAAGAGAAAGAGATAGACTTAACAATACTTAATTAAAAAATATTAAAAATTATCCTTTTTATTACATTTAAATAAAATTTTAACTCTTAACATGACATAACGAAGAAAAAAAAATTCATATAACCTACCCCACATAATGAGATAAAGATTTTATGTTGCTATTAATTTTGTGAGACTTAGATATAACTTCCCCTATAGCCCTCAAAGTCCTATAAAAATAAAACTACTTTTATGATAATTATTTAATAATTTAAATATTTTATCCTGCATATAAAATATTCAAAGCTTCTCTCTAGAGTTTCATCTTCCTATTTCTATCTCTTTCCTTTTTTCTTTCTTCTTCTCCCATCATTTCTTCTCTTTTTTAGTTTTTTCTGCTTTAATTTTGAGCCTTACTAGTAAAGTTTAAATCTCATCCACAGATAAATTTGAAGTACAAAGCTATCCCATGAAAAATAAATTAGTAATAAGAAAATGCTTGAGCAGCTAGATAGAAACGGTAAAAGATAAAGATTTTAGAGAGACAGAGAGAGAAACATGCACACATCAATCAAATATATCACAAGCAACTATTAAAGAGCTCCATTAGTTGCAGCACATTTACACCCCTATGTTACTAGCGATTAATAGGGGTGTCAATTCGGGTCAGCGGGTCGGATTCGGGTTGAACCTGAAACTGTTCGGGTCAACCCGAACCCGACCCATTTTTAAAAACGGGTCAGGTTTCTGAACCCGAACCCGACCCAATTCAGGTCAACCCAACCCGACACGAATGACCCGAAGTTGACCTAAAATTGCTAATTTTCGGATCAAAATTCAGTCAATATTCAATTTTCGGGTCAAAATCGGATCAAAACGGGTCAATCTCGGGTTTTCGGGTCAAATATGAGTTTTCGTGTCACTTTCGGGTCAATTTCGGGTTGCTGGGTCAACCCAAAACCGACCCGATTTTTAAAACGAGTTGATTTGTTCAACCCGAACCCGACCCGTTTCAGGTTGACCCGAACCCGAATTTTTCCGAGTCGGGTTCGGGTCGTGTCAAAAATTAACACCCCTAGCGATTAAGGCTTCGTTTGAGACGGCTTTCTTACTGCTTCTTAAGGAAAATTTTTAATTAAAATTTTTAATTTTTATACTTGAAAGCTGCTTCAAGAAGCAATAAAAAATTCATCCCAAACACAACATAACTTCATGCGTTGAGAACCTAAAAGAACTGCATAATTGAAACCCATGAGTTTAACCACTACCGTAGTTAATATGTAAATTATAATTTAAAAAAGAAAAATTTACATACATATCACTTTATACCATCCTATTTACATTTCTAACACCTAAAACTTTAATATTACATACATACCACTCATATATTTCTTTTATATCACTCATATATTTCATTTCTACCACTCATATTTGATATGAAAATAAATTATGGGTGGTATTTATGTAATATTAAAGTTTTAGATATTAAATATATAAATAGAGTAGTATGTATGTAAATCTGTACTAACGAGAAATCATTTGAGCATTCACACAAGCAAAATCAGACCAGCAGTGGAAATATAACATAAAAACTTCAAAAAGAGTCGCGAACATTCAGCTTTAAATTCACTGCAAAAGATTACAGAACAATCAAATCCATTTTTCAGTAGTAAATTTCTGGTTCGAAAACAGAATAAGAAGAAGAGGATGACAATTACAGACCAAGACCAACTGTGCGGCCATCTCTGCGTCGCAGACCGGCAGTGTACTGCTTCTCCAAATCTGTCTGCAGCTCCTTCTGCTTCTCCACATCCTTCTCGTCGGGCTTCCGCTCTTGAGGAATTGCCTCTCCCTTCACACCCTACAATTGGCCATACGTACCAAGGCAACCTCAGACTCTAAAACAAGTGTTAGTAAATTGGTCGATTTCAATGGCAATTCTACATAGTATTTAAGAAACAAGCAAATAAGATGTGTCAACAATGAATGCTGAGTTCGGGACAGCTTTTTTACTGTTTCTTGAAGCAGAATTTCTAATACAAATTTTTTAATTTTTATACTAAAAAGCTGCTTCAAGAAGCAGTAAAAAAGCCATCGCAAACGAAGCCTGAATGTTGAGTTCACCCTTTCTATATGGTATCTAAAATCTTTTGAACAGCTTGATTCAGGCTTCGTTTGAGACGGCTTTCTTGATGCTTCTTAAAGCAGTTTTTTAGTATAAAAATTTCAATTTTTATACTAAAAAGCTGCTTTAAGAAGCATAAAAAAAGCCGTCCCAAACGAATCCTCAAACTAAAAATAGAAGGGTACTAAAAATTACCATGAGCTTGTTGAACTTTTCCTGGCGTTCTCGATCAGCAAAGAGTTGAAAATCCCATCGATTGCCGGACTAAGAACATCAATGAAAATAAAAAGTAGAGAGTGGTGCAGTGTAGAAAATCAGAATTTCTTTTATCTTTTACATGTTATAAATAAGCAGCTGCAATGTATATCTGGAAGCCTACCTCCTCGGAACTGTTCTTCTTGCCGCCCCAAAGAAGTTTTTTCTTCTGGTCAGTTGACATGAAACCAGTCCCCACGAGATTCCTATTTACTGCAAAAGAGTGCAGGTAGCGTAGCTATCCCATTAAATGGGGAAGAAAATGAAAATGGAACATTACATCCAAAATCTGGGAATAGAATAGCCAGAGAGAGTCGAGTTTCAAACATTAACGGTAAAAATGTAAAATCATGAAACTGTAAAAGCGGAATTACAAGGAGTTTTTTTGTAAAAGGCAGGTATTTATGAGAATGGCGAGTGTGGAATGAATAAGTTACTTGTTGCTGAACCAATAAAAAGTTGGAAGAATGCAAACTTGAAAGGGAAAACTAGATTATTCCTTGAGATATAGATGGTATTTCTAAGTTGCAACATACTTTTCAAAAGCCTCAACTGTGGTACCCTTATATAAAATGTATTCATAAAGATTCTTCCATCGACAGTGTCATTCGTTGAAATACAATGATAATTCAAAAGGAAATTATATTAAACTTAAATGAATTTCAGCTCAATTCATATTAATTCATTAGATTAATCAAGCGCTTAATTAAATTTTGAACTTTATCATGATATATACATCGATATTATATTCTCCCATGAAAAAAAATTACAAAAGGCTTTAATTCTTATACCATTTTTAGAGAAAATCAAGATGAAATCTAAAGGAGATATTTGACTTTACATGCCTCATAATCATGTAATTGGATAAATATGCATGTTATTTATTTTCGTAAGAAATTATGTCTAAAAGTTACTCTCAGACCAAAAGGCACCTTCAATGAAGTAATATAAATGTATATCCTAAGTACTATGCTGAATTGGAAGATATTAGCTTTATCAATATTAAGTATCAGAACACTTACCTAAGACGCATAAGGGAAAATTCAATTATGTTGTGTTATAGCTGATTATATCATATTATATCAAAGTTACTGTTCGTTGTATTATAGATAGTTATTGTACTTTCTTGTATCAAAGTTATAATCTACTGTGTTAAAACTATTGTAATTGCACTCCATTGAATTTAAGTTATACATATTTATGTTATAATTATTCTCATCATATTTTAATTATTATAGTATATTGTGTTAAAGCATATTCAAAGTCCCTTCAAACCATTTTTGAATAAAGTTCGAATATGGCTCAAACATGGTTCAAATCTCACTTGAACGTGTTCAAATTTTGATCGAACCTTATTCGAACATGATTCAATTCTCTCATGAGGCGCATACAACAAAATTGACAACACTTAAATACATTAAATAGAATCAAGGAATAACATTTATGACTAAATTATACCAACGGGTACTTTACAGGTTATTACAAACTCAGAAGTTAGCCTTTTACATTAAGTACAATACATCAAATAATATTATACTTATGACAACAAGGTGTTACATTTATGAAAGCATTGGTTGAAGCCTAAATCAAATAACTTCACGTGCCCATCCAACAAACGAAAGATTTGTGCTAAAAAAATTCTTCGTTATGTAAGTCTAAATACAGCCATCACCCATTCTAATACGAGAAGCCCTATATACAATATGTCAATATATCAAGCAGACATAAGAAAAATCCTAGGTTTAAAATGAACCATGTTTGAACTTGGTTAGATTCATATTCGAACATGGCTCGATCTTCGTTAGAATGTAGTTTTAACCTCATCCGAACGCGACTTGAACCTCATTTGAATGGGGTTCGAACCTTGTTCAAACATGGCTCGTTCAATCTCCTATGCGGTTTGAAATTCTTATATACATAAGCATACTCATGTAAATAGGTTGAAGTTAAAAGTTATAAAGGCAAAAATAAAGATTCTCGAGAATATATATATATATAT